CTGTATAGTTTTAACTACTGTAATCCAAGCAAGTATCATTGTGATAAGTGACTTGGAATAGGTTTTGATTGTAAGGGTTGTGTATCACTCAAAGCTTTGAAGCAAGAGTGTTTGTGTCTCTTGACTAAAGCTTTGAAGTAAGGTCAAGTTAGGTTTATGTATCACTCAAAGCTTTGAAGCAAGAGTGTTTGTGTTACTTGATTAAAAGCTGTGAAGCAAAATCAAGTGTATGTTCTGAAGAGTGTCTTCACTATTTCATTAGTCAATTGTTTAAGTATCACTGCTGTGATTGAGGGGGAGCGAGTAGGAACTCAGGTTTAAGTTGAACTTAGATTGAAGTTGCATTGGGTAGGTCTTAAGTGAAGGAGATAAACTGGTTGGTTTATTCCTGAATTAATATCTCTTATAGTGGATTTCCTCCCTGGCTTGGTAGCCCCCAGAGTAGGTGTTGTTTCACACTGAACTGGGTAAACAATTGATTGTGTTCTTTACTGTTTTTTTATTTACTGTCTTATAGAAAGTTAGATACGGTGTCATAACATTCACTGTGACATTAAGTATTTGCTGCCAGAATTTCAATTTGAATCTATATTGGTACTTGATGAACTTTCATCATTTCAAATCTATCTCTAAGTAATCAATTGATCATAAAAGGTACTTTAGATTAATGGTAAGTTTGTCCTAAGGTATCATGAAGGATTTGATTGATGTAATGATCTCATCTTATTGACTTAGGTCTTGACACCTTTTCTTTTAAACCATAATGTGCATTAAATGCAATACACCTACATTATTTTGGCCCGTACTCAGATAGGTGCAACTTCTATATAAGTTTGCTTACGATTGCTTAACATAACGCCAAATTATCCCGAATCGGAAAACTAACATACTAACTCTAATAACTATTGTACTAAATTTTACTTTAATGCAATTTAAGTTTCTCGTAGTTTACTTTATGTCATTTAATTTTAGCATCTTTATCATTCATGTCATATATCTTTTTTCTCTTTATTTTATGCCATTTTCTCTTTGCCCACTTGGACTTTTATTTTATGTCATTTTTCGTTTTTCCACTTGAACATATGTTTATGCACTTTTTCCTTTGTCCACTTGGAATTTTATTTTGTTCTTAAGTAATTAATAATCAACTTGAACATTAAAAGACTTAAGACTCTTTGTGGACTATGATTACTATCCCTTGGCATATTAGAGCATTTGAACCTTTGGACTTAGGATAAGACCTTGTTGTTATTTTGTCTTTATTGTGAACTTTTCTGTGTGTAAGTGTTACTTTAAAATTTCATCTGATGCAAGAATAATTCATCTGATACATGTCAAGTCATGTTCCTTATTTAATCCATCTGATACAAGCTTGCACCTGAGGCACTTCTTATTCATCTGATGCTTATTGCTTCATTGTGTGTGGCTTTAATCCAAAGGATGAGAATGTTATGTTAAATTTATTATGTCAAGTGTTGGAATCTTGTTTGGTTAGATCTTTCATACCTTAGCTTTTACTTTATGGTTTAGGATAGTCCCTTCATCTCTTGCCCATCTTCTTTAATTTCAAAATCATCTCCCTCATTTTAAAAAATTATTCTTGTTTTCAAACTTGAATCCTTTCATAATAAACTTGGAATTACGTCCATGCATTTTCAAAATCTTTTCTTGATCAAATTTTAATTAACTTAACCAAAGTCTAACTCTTTTCTTCAAAGACTAAAAAATACAAAACCTCACTTCAAACCTTTTGCCATTTGGCTTTTGATTTTATAACTTTTTTCATAAAGATTAGATGTGAGTCATATCTATGGTTGAGATATAATTCTCCCACGTCCATAACCTTGATTGATATAATGTTGAATCTTTTCCACTTAAATGGGTTAGTGCCATACTTGTTCAGATATCCAGGTTGAAGCCCTCCTTTCACTTGTGAATCAAAGGTCCATCATTCACATGTTTATGTATATTTGGTTGAGTATTCTCCCTAAGATGACCAAATGTCTCTTCTCTAAAAATTAACCAATACACAACTTGGTTCTTTTTTAGAAGAACTATGTGGTTCTGATTTCATCATTACACATTGGTGATATGTAGACACATGGGTCATTGAAGTCTTGCCGAATAAAAATTGTAAAAATCATTTTTTTCTCATCTCTCCATTCATTTCTCAAACAACCATTTTTAGCCAAATACACAGACTTTCAAAGAGGTTTATGCAGAGTACTGTAGATCTTTAGAGTGCAAATACCATCCCTTTTCATGATCAACCCTCTTACATAGATCTTTGTTTTTATTAGTTTTTTAATTTTAAAAACTTCTTTGGATTTTATTCTCTCTTTTCCCATTTCCTTTGGAAACAATAAAGTGTGGTGGCGACTTTTACTCTGTGAGTTAAGTCAATCAATGGCTTAATCTCAACTTTTCACTGCTACAATATTATTAAACCCACATCCGTATATATATATATATATATATATATATATATATATATATATATATATATATATATATATATATATATATATATATATATATATATATATATATATATATATATAGTTGAATATCCAATTATTTTAACTGCAGATATCATTAAACTATACGCCCCGTACCCATGATGGATTTTATCCGCAAATAACTTCTGATACAGTTTTATTTTTCCATCCCTAGCCATGATAGATATATTTGATTTATCATCCTTCATCTAACCATCACCATCATAAAACTGAAGCCTTTTCCAGTGAGTAGCAACCTTCATTTTCTTTGCAATTAAACAACCACATGGAAGACCGTACATCTTCCTAAGTGTACAACCACATGTTGAACCATTTGGTTTTGTTTTCTCTGCTCACTTGGCTTTGGGATTAATGAAACTCAATCCTAACCAATAGATGTTACCAACCAACTGTGAATAATGGATGATGTCTTTTAATAGGTGTTCTAATACAATAACTTTCCGATCAAAAGATGTTTGTATCTCATTATGTTGATTTTATATCATTTAATTGACAGAGTTCTAACCACTACAAAAATCACCTTTGCAGTTTCCCAATCAATTATTAAGTATAAAATGTGTAAATTTAACTCTGTTAGTTGTTATATTACCAAAATGCCTAGCTTGATCAGTCTAAGCACAAACAATCTTCTTCTGCACCTAGTCTAAAATTGTGCTCTCAACATATTTTAGGAAACTTTGATATATTGCACTTAGACTCCTGAACTGTATGACAAATTCTGCATATAACTCTTTCGTGGAATTATTTATAACCCCATTCCAGGCATCCATTATTTTTTCCACTCCCACACCAAGTTTAACCATTTTCTCATTTTCACCTTTGGTTTGTTTGGTCCCTACTGCAGGTTTAAGTTTGTTTCTCACATTTTAGGTTATGTGATACCTAGAAAGTAATGCATATGATGTAAGAAGCAACTTTTCAACGGAATTCATTAGTGTGGTATCATGATCGATTACAATGACCTTTAGCATATTTTATTGGTCCTTCAACGTATTCTCGCACACTTCTAAAGCCAGATAACATTGTCCTCCTTTTCGCTTTCCAAAAATGCAAAATCCATCAAAAAGTCATATCCGTCGAAGTAATACCAACAATTTCCAAAGAGGAATCCTGACAGTTACCTATTTTTGGGCCCTGATATTCGACCCATAAGAGGAACTAATGGTCAAGCTCTAGGGACACTATAAACACCCTCACACTTATGAGGGTCATGTATTCAACTCTTGTCATACCCCAAATTTGCCCGTCCTTTATTACTACAATCAAAAATATTTTAAACATTGTTTTTATAATATTATTTGATTTTTATAAAATATTCGTTCTAAAGTCCAGTTAAAAATATAATAATTTATTTTAAATTATTTGTAATTTTAAATAACAAATACTTGCTCGTCTTCATGTACTTTCAATTGGCTTTTTAGTTCAAATAAATAAATAGCATAATTTGTAAGGAATGAAGCTTGTAAATATAAGGTCGCGAGTTTGAATCTTGTGTGTTGCATTTTTAACATTTTTTTATTTCTTTTTTGTTGCTAATTTTCTTTCATTTTGTGGATATCAAACTTTGGACTTCTCATTGGACTTATGGATAACTTAGTCTCTAAGTCTTTTTTTAACCTAATTCACTCTATAAATAGGACCTTAGTTTATCCTAATTTTTCACACACAATTCATCAACGATCTACAAATCCACCATTCATTAACAATTTCATCTCCAAATTTACTATCTCTCCAAACTCTTAGAATTCTTGTTTTTTTGACAGTTTTGTTGTTTTTTAATTTATTCGTTGTTTTCACCGTATGATAAAATTGGCTGATGGTACCTCTTTTAAAATTATGATATTTCAAATAGATTTTTTTGGTTTTCTTAATTTATTTTAATTACATGATGATATTATCTGATGATTAGTTTCTTAAATCATATTCTCATAATTGATAATTTTTTTCCAAATTCCTGAGGAGGTCAATTTAGTTACACAGAAACCCTTTTCTTATCACCAAAAAACCTTGCGTGCATATTGTACTGCACTTATTTTCCTGAACATAGTTTCTAAGATGACTATCACATATTTTCCAATTCTTGCTCATGAATACTTCTTACACACGTTTCTACACAAGAGACATCATGATACCCTCAATTTTCTAACATAACACTACCACAATATCATATACTAGTCTTTAACCAAATCAAACCTTTGCTTTTGTCAAAATAATTTCTCTTTAACAATGCACACACGGTTCACACATAAAATCTATTCCTTTTCAAGTTACTATAATAACAAATTTTTCCAACCATTGCTATCCACATTGATACTAACAATTAACCAATTTCTTGTTTATTCACATCTACATATACATATTCATAATACATATATACACATTAGAAAGTTTTTTTACAAAACTTTGGCTTTTCTTGTTTAATCAAAATCAGTACTGATACAACTTTCTATCCTTACACGCCTCTTTATCCCCTCCAATTTGATGCAGCCCGGCGTTTACCGTTGTTGTCTGCACCGGAGAGCAACGAAACCTGTACATAGACCATATAAAATCAACCCAGATGCCACTCAATATTGTTCTTCTTCATTCTCGTTTTTGGATATATGGTACATGTATTTTTTTGCAGGGAAAAAGGAAAAGAGAAGAAAAACGTCAAGGTATTCTAAGTCAAAATCATCACGTGGTACCTACCATTTTCCATTGATGTTGTCATTGTCGTTCCACCGTGAGTTTCATCTGACCCGCCGCGACCCACCGGGAATACGACATCACAGCCCGTGAAGCTTCCGTCTGATGACAACATAGATCCACACTGCTTCGGCCCTCCTCTGATCCCGCACGAGCAAATCCCAACACCAACACCATCCAGCTTCATACTTCACGACCATCCTACGCATCCTAACGCCACCACAACCACCTCCGCCATCAGAGCTTTGACAAGAAAATGGAAGAAAAATGTTGTATTGATTTTTGGAGAAAGATACTGGAACAATGAAGAGGAAAAATGGTTGGTTTTTTCTTTCTGATTTAATCCAGAACTTGGTGTCATGAGTTTTGGCCTTTATGGGTTTTATTTTTATTTTTTTTTATGAAATGTCACGTGTCATATAAATATTGGGGTTGAGTTTGTTGGAAAAGTCAAAAACCAAGATAAACACTCAGGAAAGTGTCGTCTCCCTCTTTATGCACTATCTTCTACATTTTTTTTATTATATTTAATTAGGTTATTAGGGTTTTAGTAATTGAGCTCTTGAGCTATATATTTCTACCACTTTACTAAACCTATACCGTACTTCTAACTTAGCACCCCATAGTTTTTTGTTTTATTTAGTTACTATTAATTTAATTAATAATTTTAGTTAATTAATTAATTATGAAGAATAGTTAATTTTGTTTCATTAAAAATACAAAAAAACATATTTTATTAGGTTTTTTATAGATTAATTAGACTTATTAATTTTTAAATACATTTAAATCTATGATTAATTAATGTGTACATAACCATAAATCAATCACTTTTTTAAATATAATTAATTCAAATATGTTATAAATAATAGGATGTCCATATTTAAGTAATTAAATTTATTGACATATCGTCTACCGGTTTATTATTCAAAATCAAACAATTAAAATCTACGCAATTCACCCAATTCATCATCCGCGAATGACATGTGGCCAATATCTGGCCACGTGATGAGGAGACTATATCAGACTCCCCTCCTATAAATAATAGGATGTCCATATTTGAGTAATTAAATTTATTGACACATCGTCTACCGGTTTATTATTCAAAATCAAACAATTAAAATCTACGCAACTCACCCAATTCATCATCCGCGAATGACATGTGGCCAATATTTGGCCACGTGATGGGGAGACTATATCCGACTCCCCTGCTATACGTCCTAAAACAGCTAACCAACAACATCAAATCATTTTCAACTAACATAACCAAAAACCCAAGATATTTTAGAAAAAAGGATTAAGGAGAATTATTTTCAAATTAACTGCAAACTGTGTACGATCACTCAACTTACAACCCAGACAAGGTTCGAGGATAATTCGAAAGCAAATTCTATGCAATCCATAAAAAACACCAACCAAACCCGTGAACTATGAAATAAGACTCTGATTCCTCCTAAGAGGATACGTAGGCATACGATCAAAATTGTGGCGAGTCCCCCTAATTAAAAAACAAACCCTTTTCCCCTAATAAAAATAAAAAAACCATATTTCCTTAAAAACCGCGCTTCTAAACCTAGTATCCTTGTGAATAAGATAGATGAGGGGTGCCTAACAACTTCCCTTCGTCTAGAACCGAGTCAACAACCTAGAACCTCTAATTTTTAGGGTTATCCTTTATATTCCCTTCCTTAGAATAAAAATTAAGGGTGGGGAATCTTATTTTAAAATCGGTTACAACAACTCTTAATACCTTGTTTCTCTCAGGTATCTCTGCACTCTTATTTACTTGAGCATTAGAGTGCCTTGTAGGTACACACACTCCTTCTTTATGATTTCAGCACTACGGGCGGAGTTACTGGCCCATTAAATATTCTGATCAATGGTAAGATCAGTGACGCCATCTATGGGAAAATTGTTTCCCTATCTTTTCTATCTTTGAAATCAAAAGATCAAAACAAACTTCCAAGATTCCATCATGGCCAGTTAAGATGATGACAACCTTGCTCACAGAACCGTCATCTCGCCCATCTGAAAAACTGACAACGACGGAGAAATGTCACTTTTCGAAGAAACTATTCTCGTAAGAGATACGACCACATTGCATCTCATTCCTCCGAAGAGGCGAAGGATGATGATGTCCAGTTCATGGAAACATTCAAAATTAAGAAAGCTCAAGAAATAGAATCAGAGAGCTTTCAGCCAAACCTGGTACCATCCAACGTTGACCCGACTATGGTGGCCCTACTCGCAACGTTCAACCAGACAACCACTATGATCCTCCAGTAGAGTGATAGGAACGGGGCATTGGAGAAAGGACATAGTTCAAGATCTCTTCCGCAGAGACACCAACGATATGGATCTCGCAGCCCATCGCCACAGCAACCAGTTGTTGCTTAGCGCCGGAAAAACTAGAGGTTTTGTTGGTCAAGAAACACAACCACAATCCACTCTGTAAGAACCGATGCTCCTCAGTTACCAAGAAAACCAAAGTTAATTAACGATCAGAGAAACATCATTCACCTCCGCCCAAGCGAAAGGGCCGGCTAAGAATCCCATATCCTTGTCAAGATGATAGTCCCTGGCGAGGAAAGAACAACTATTCTCCATGCAGTCACCAGGCTAGAGCGACGAGGATAACCCTCGCGGTCGGTTATTTAGGGAAATCATGGATACTCCCCTCCTTGTAGAGCTAGAAAAGCCTCCAAACTTGGGGACATATGACGGGACAACTGACCCGACGAACACATTGAGAACATTAATGCCCTGCTCGACTACCAGAGCATCAGGGGCGCTATCAATTGCAGGATATTCCCCACTACACCGAGGAAAGGGGCCATGTTGTGGTACAAGAGCCTCCTTGACGAATCCATCACCTCTTGAAAAAATCTTGGGAAGAAGTTCTTTAGGCACTTTACAGCCTATCGTCGCCACCTAAAGTATGAAGCATCGCTCAAAGCGATCATACAGGGGAAAGGAAAATCCCTTTAAGCATACATCAAAAAGTTCAATTGTGAAGCTATCCAGGTCTCTACGATATGAAAAAGTATCTACTTGAGGGAGGATTGCGTCCCTGCAATGATTTCTCCAAGGAAGTTGGCATTAAAACGCTCGCAGCGCTAGACACCTTCCTCTTCAAAGCCCAAGCCTACTTTGAGTACGAGGAGTAGGAGGCCGCCAACAATACATGGGACTCACGACACCAAGAAAATTCATGAGTTTTGAAGCACGATGATTCCTAAACACCTCACCAAGGAGTGGATAAGAGAAAATAAGACATACCTCGCGAGTCCCGAGAGTATAAAGGGCCTGCTGGCCACTTCCACGAGTACACGTCGTTGACCACTTCTCGCAAGCACATCTTGTACGAATCTGTAAACTCAGAATTCCGCTAGGCTAGGGCCCACTATTCCAGGAAAACACCATCCAAGCCTAATACAGACAAGACCAAGTACTTCCGGTTCCATAAAATCCACATGTACGTCACCAAAGATTGCATCCATCTCAAGGAAGCAATCGAGATCCTCATCAAGGACAAGCATCTGAAATAGTACACAAAGAAAAAGGAAGCACTTTGATAGGACGCCCAAGAATCGAAGAATGTTGAGGAGGAAAAGCCGTCCTAGGACAATGCCAATCTGCATGTTTCCATGTGCATGTCACAACTAGAGGACTTCTAAGTCCCCGATGGTGTCAGCTACCCCCTTTACTTCACAACACACAGCCCCTAGGAGACTTTCCCCTCATCCATGGTCATATCTGGTGGAGGATTGAACAAACTCATCGTAGGGTCGGTGAGAAGAAAATTTGAGCACTTGGTCGACTTAAGCTCGAGCCAAAATTCCACCCTAGATAGATTTTGAGGAAGCCCAATCCCTATTACATTCTACCGCGAGGAGCTCTACGACGGGTCCCTCAACCCCAGTATCCCTTTGCTCGTGAGAGCACGTATGGCTAACTTGGACGTTCGTCGCATTCTGGTCGACCAGGGAAGTTCAGTCAACATTATATAATCCCAGTTGTTCTCCATGTTACAACTCAATGAAACGCATTTGACGCCCTACGTGGGCTAAGATCTACAGAGCTTCAATGGCGTGATCACGAAACTGTGGGGGCTATGTCAAGATAATCGTTACTTTCGGGATAGCCAAAACTGCTAGAGCCGTCAAAGTTCAGTTCCTGCTAATAGACTATCCATCCCTATACCAATGCATCCTGGGAAGACCAACTCTAGCCGAGCTGATCAGCATGCCCTCCATCTTTCATTTTAAATGAAAATATTACATGCCTAAAGGACTCGTCGCCACCCTTCATAGGGACATAGAAGCAGCAAGAAGATGCTTCGAATCATCCTTAAAGGGAATCAACACTATCAACGTGTCACCCAAAACTACCAACAAACCAGCGTGATCCACCAGCTCGGAGAAGTCGAAGCCACTGCCTCACATTGACTCGGTTGACCTCGATAGCCACATTACCAAGGATGACTAAAAGAGTAGAAGAAGAAAGAGAGGGGAGCCAAACTAACAACCAATAGCTCCTTGTCACCAACTGATGACGAGGAACCTATCTATCTCAGGTGCCCCATTCCAGACGACGAATTCTAGATCATTCTCTTCAGCAGCGATCCAAACAAAGGAGTGAAGATTGGCACTGGCCTCCTCGACCTCGCTAGGAAGCAACTGAAAGCATGCTTAAGGGAAAATATTGACTTGTTCTCTTGGAGTGTTGTTGAGATGCCCAGATTAGACCCTGAAGTAGCGTGTCACTAGCTGAACATAGATCCCGCTAATAGGGTTATAGCCCAATGTAGGCGCAAGCAGTCTCCCAAGAAAACAGAGGTTGCTGAAAAAGCTATAAAATACCTTTAAGAGGCCAATTTTATTTCAGAAGCCCAGTACACAACTTGGATTTCAAACATTGTACTTGTTAAAAAATCTAATGGACAATGGAGAATGTGCGTTGATTATATTGATCTCAATAGGGCTTTCCCTAAAGATGCTAATCGTTGGCCTAAAATAGATAGACTAGTTGATAATTCTGCTAGATTTAAATTATTGTCTTTTATAGATGCATATTCTGGGTACAATCAAATAACC